CAAGATCAAGAATTGATTCAATTATTAAGTGGTTAACAAGGCTATTGGCAAGAGAATAGATCAATCATGTATTACCCCTTGGCTCATCAATGACAAGTTGAATTGCAACAAGTTCCACCAAAACAAACCACAAACCAACAAAGAGGAGTAATCACAACTTCAAGCAAGGGAAGACAATTTACCAAACACTATGCACAATGAGTCATCCAAACAAAGTTTCAAAAATTTCAATTTTTTTTTAGAAAAAACCCAAATTATCCCCTCCCCCACACTTAAAGGCTACATCATCCTCGATGCGAAAGAAAACAAAGCACAAGGGGGGGAAGGGTGGCACAATAAGCACAAGGAGCGCAATCTCTACTAACTACACCAAGTAAAGCACTATACACAATTAAAGAAAGTAGAGAAGGTAGATGAGACTCCCTTAATGAATCTTCTAGTGCCAAAGAATCATAATGAAGCTTTCTTGGAATTGAGCATACTCCTTGGTGTCATTCCTAGAGTCAAGAGCATATATACATGAAAGCACAAGTGAAAACATGATATAACAAAAATAAAAGTTCTAAGAAAAATAAAGAAGAAATTAAAGTGCAATAAAATGAAAGATAACATGGGGTGCCTCCCATGAAGCGCTAAGTTTAACGTCGCTAGCTCGACTCAACCACTCAAGGAACTATCCATGCATGATTGGATGAAGATGAGTTCCTTTTTCTCCATCCACTTTCTCTTCAATAAATTTCCTTAAATGTCGGGCATTAAGGAACTCCTTTAAGCTCAAAAGTAACATATTCTCCTCAAAGAAATTGCAATGATCCACTTCCAAGAATATGCCCTCTTCTTCAATCATCATCTCTTTTTCTTCAATATTTTCTTCCAAATAGCACTTCAAGTGGTGGCCATCAATATGCTCTCTTAAGCTCAACATCACCACTTCAAAGCTTAAGAAATAATGTTCATCCAAATCAAACTTCAAGCATGCCCCTTCCTCAAATCCATTTTTAATCCACAAATCAAATGATGTCTTCTTTCTAAACCTTGGATCATGATAATACTCAAGAGCTTGATCATTCTCTTTAGTTCCACATCTTTTCTCTTCTTGACATTTCCCATCTTGAATAAGCAAGGAGAACCTTGGGACTTTGTCATTCACCAATAAGAATTGGGAGTCCTTAGATATAAATATCGGCCAATGTGGGCCAATACTCTCAAAATCATTAACTCCTCCCGGTTCCCAAACTCTTCTAAAATTCTCAACATGCTCCATTAAAGGGAGTTCCTCATTTAAGTCTTGTGTTCTCCTAACTACATTTTCCTTCAAATTCTCTTTAAATGGACAACTTTCAATTTGATCCTTGTCACCGACTTCCATATTCTCTTTCCTTTCTTCCTCAACACTCTCATCTTTTGTTTCTTCCTCAACACCATCATTTTCTTGCACGTCTTCAATTGGACCATCTTCTAATTGCTCCTTATCACCATTCCCTTGCAAGTTTACACTTTCTCCCCAACTTGGTGTTTCTATCTCAATGCACTCATCATAAACCTTATCATCTTCATCTTTATCTCCAAGGTCCTCACCCTCCTTTTCATTTCCATCAACCACATGACCTTCATTTGGCAAGAGCAACTCTTGTAGAACATCTACATTGGAAGACAATTCTTGAACGGGTTCTTGAGTTGTCAAACCTTGTATATGAGCCATCATGTTGTCTAGTAGAACTTGTTGCTCATTCATTTGCATAAGCATATTGGCCATCATGGACTTCATCTCATACTCTTGATCAAATGGTTGACATTCTTGTTGAGGTTCTTGGTAAGGGACTTCTTGAAATTGGTCTTGATATTCTTGTTGAGGTTCTTGAACTTGGCCTTGATATTGGAAATTAGGATCAAAGATGTAACATCCTTCGGCTTCATGTGGTCCTCCACATATGGCACACCAAAGAGGTTGTGGCATGAACATTGGTGGTGTACCTCCTTGAAAAGCTTCTTCATTGACATTGACATTATATTCCAAAGCTTGTTGTTGATCATCTTGATGAGGCACTTGGTAGGTGGGAGTCAAAATATGGCAACTTTCCAAAGCATGAGAACCACCACATATAGCACACCATAGAGATTGTGGCTCCAAAGCTTGAAAAGTGTTTTCTTGAGGAACTTCTTGACTCATATTGACACCACACTCTTGAGGGAAATGTTGACAATCTTGAGGTAGTGTTGGACTTGTGGAGTTTAACTTGTAGCAATTCTCCAATGCATGAGCTTCACCACAATAGGAACACCACTTAGAATAAGAAAGGAATGATTGAAGTGGACTACCTTAAAAGGTCTTTATACCCATTTTGATGAAATCGGGCAATGCCATTCTTTGCTCTTGGAAATCATACCCCTCCATAATTCAAAGTTCTTGATTGAGTGGTGAAAACTCTTCCTTTTTCAATTAAGAGTGAATGCACAAAGAAAAGATCCTTCAACCAAATCTCAATCAAGGTAAGACAATAAGCCTTTGAACAATAAAAACAAACAAAAAGAAAGAAAAAGTTTAGTCTCCTAAGATTCCTTAAACTCCAATGCTAGCAAAACAAGCAATCACATAGAACCACCAAATTTCCAATCCCCGGCAACGGCGCCAATTTTTGATGTAGCAAAAATAAGATGTGAGCTCGGGTGTGAAATATCGTCCTCAGGGGATTGGGGGATATGGCACGCAATATGCAATCACAATAAACTAGGCACTAGCATAAGGAAATCAACAAGAAGCTAAGCAAACTACAAGTTTAAGGAAATGATAAGACTAACACATATACACAAAGATAAACACAAAATAAAGAGATAGGACTCAAGCTAGGGAGCATTAACATCTAGATGATTTAACAACCTAAGGGATTAGGGAGAACAAGTAACCAAGGAATCAAGCGGGAATGCACGTAGGTATCCTAGTCTATGAACCATTCTCATGATTAATAAACAAGGATTAGGACAAGGAAATGCCCCACTTTCGTGGTGAATCAATTCCAAGTCTATCAAGCACACAAAGCATCTAAAGCCCCCAATTTCCCCTATTTTCGTAGGAAGAAATCGGGTCTATGCAAGGGGTGGCTTGGATTCATCACCCAACTCTCATTGAGGCAAGGAATCCTCCAAAAAATGTGTACATCAAACATTAACAAGATATAAATACAAAACCTTCACAAACACATGAACCCTAGGTTGGAGTTCTTCCCCTTTTTTGCAATAATCACAAATCAAGCATCAAGATAGATAATACAACTCTAACTCAAGTCCATAAACTAACTACTCATGATTCAATAGCATAAAGAACACAAAAACATAAATATAAAGCATAAATATTGCCAAATAAAGAGATAAAAGAGAGAAGAAAACTTCACTAAGAAATGGATGGTAAATCTTGAAATCCAAGTGTTGAATCCTTGATTACAAGCTTGAAATATGTTAAGAAACCTAAATCTAAACCTAATCTAACACTACAATATGAAAGGAAGTGAAAGAGAGAAGCTAGGGCTCAACCATGGGTCAAAACCGAGCTAAAATGGGTGAAAACGCAGTTTATAAAGTTGCAGAGGGCTGGCCACGGGCGTGGCTTCACCCGTGGCCAGAAATGCAGTTTACACTGCCCAGTGGCCACGGGTGTGGCCACGGGCGTGGCCAGACCCGTGGCCACAAGGCAGTGTGCACTGCCTGTGCACTGAGTCTGTCTTCTAAGTCATTTTTTCACCCTCTAAAATTCTGAATTAGCCTTTGGTGCTTGAATCAAAGTTGTAGCTCTTCAATTTATATTTCCAATGACATAAGATTCACTTCAATTGGAAATTTGTAGCTCGAGATATGATCAAAATACTATGACGTCGACGTGCAGGTCGGGAATTGCAATGCATTGATCTTTTGCTTCTCTTTTGCTTTGGTTTGCTCAAATGACCAAGACCATTCAAAGCACCACCCTTAGGCTTCATTGGAAGTGTTTTGCCCATCTCCATAGCTTCTCCTTGGCTCACATGTTCTCCTAATGCATCCAAAATGCTCCATTTGACTCCAATGTCCACCAAAATGCCTGAAAATACTCATCTTTGTTTCCAAACAAAACTCCTTGCAAAATAACACAATTTAATCATAATCTCATGAAATTTGGAGTGATCTATAAGCAAAATGGCTTAGTGAAAGGGGGGAAAATATAGACAAATAAGCACTTATCAAGTATGGTTTCATATCTTTGTTGTGATCCATTGATTGATTCCTATGAACGGTATGTTAGGAATCCATGTGGTCCTCGTGTGGCCATGATTGAGATAGGTGGTTTGTTATTTGAGCTTTGCTCATGAGTTTGGCAGTTTTGTGATATGATATTGAATGGTACCCTCGCGTACTGAGATAGGTGGAAATGCTGGCGGTGTCGGAGGGGGGACGACGGTCCTCGGAGGCAAAAGGTTGGACTCAAAAGTACAGGCTAGGGTGGCACTCGGAGGTAAAGGTTGGAACTGTAATAAGGCTGGGGGTAGCCATAAGGTTGGAACAGGGCATAAGGTTGGAACGATGATCTTTGTGACATGTAGTTGTCACTGTGGCATGTAGTTGCCAATCTTGTGGATGTGTGATTGTCCATTCTTTGCTAATGAGCATGTCTTGATGTATTCTACTTTGTGATCGGTAGAATACATCTCGAGTTGTGTTGTTTACTGTTGGTATCCTTGTCTTGTTGTTGTTGTGGGATGTTAATTTCCCTTTTTCCTTTGAGAGTGTGAAAGAGTCTTTGAAGTTGACTTCTCTCTATGATTTTGAACTGATATATACTGTATTCCATTTCAAAAAAGGTTTTTGCCTTACACTATCTATATATGCTATTTAACGCGTAATGATGGGTTACCAGCAATGTTCGCTGACCGGGTGTCATCCCCTTTCTTTATGTTGCTTTACAGGTCTTGAGTAGCTTTTGGAGAGCGCGCTAGGTGCTTGTTAGATAGTGTAGCTCCCTATGACTATTTTAGTTAGAAGTTTTGGCCTGTGAGCCACAAATTTTTATGAGTATGACTTATACGTTTGTTTAGACTTAGCCTGTGCACCTATAGATGTGTAGGTGTGGCATATCATCTCCCGGATTTGTGTAGTTAGCTTCCTCTTTGCTTAATCTTAATGCTTAGACTTTACCTCTTTCATAAGCTTTAATTGGTTTTAAAAGTTATTGAAATTCGGGGGTGTTACACCACGACCGGGAGACCGGTCGACAGGACATGGAATTCAAAGCACTTGGTTATGTTTCGTCATTAGCGTTAGATCAAGTAGCTTTGTAAACGGCGCCCAGGAGTATTGTTAGTGCTTAATGTACGTGGACGCCATTATTGTAATTACCTCCGGGGGTAGACGGTATGACATGCGCCCGGAGGATCTGTGTAATCTCCGTTCCTGTGTAATGTTTGTTCCATGTAGTCTTCATCTTCATGCGGGCCGACTGCCGGGAGCAAGAACGACCACAATGTCGAGTAAACTTGAAATCAGTTCACGGCCGATAAGGCAGAGGCCCGACCGAGCGACCGAAACGTCAAGTAAACTTCGAAACGACCACAATGTCGAGTAAACTTGAAATCGGTTCTCAACCGATAAGGGCAGAGGCCCGACCGAGCGATCGAAACGTCAAGTAAACTTTAAAACAAGCACAATGTCGAGTAAACTTGAAATCGGTTCACGACCGATAAGGGCAGAGGCCCGACCGAGCGACCGAAACGTCAAGTAAACTTCAAAATGACCATAATGTCGAGTTAACTCGAAATCGGTTCACGACCGATCAAGCATGGGCCTACGAGAACGATCGATCGATACGGCTACCACCGTCAGCGCTCTAAGTCGGAGCTGAGAGCACTTTTCGGCTTTAAGCCCTACAAGGTAAGCACTTTTGGACCGGTTGGGTAGGCACTTTCACCTGCAGGGTAAAGTTTAGCCGCGTTTAGAACCTGACTGCTAGATTTCTCGTTAACCCCGACCATATCTACTACCTCAAGGTGACGATTTTCGCACTTAAGGGAGTGGGGGGGATAACTCGGTGAAAGTCATCTTACGCCGAGTACCCTAAGTTGAGGGAAACCCCAGAACGTTTTAGTACCATAAGTTTGCACTCTTCCCCGAGCACCCTAAGTTGAGGGAAACCCCAAAGCGCTTTGGGCCTAGCACTTAAACGTTTCGCGAATCGAAGCAAACTCGAATTAGCGTTTCGGTCAAGGTAGGGAGTTGAGGGAAACCCCAAGCGTTTTGTTCCGAGCACCTAAAACGTTTTGCGAATATCGAATCAGCCGAAAGTAAATACTGCGAAGAGTTTTCATAAAAGTAAAACAAAAATACGCAAGTCTTATCGTTTGGGCCCAAGCCAAAAAAGGACATTCGAGAGGAAAGCTTAATGTCCGGTGTAACACCCCCCAAACAAGCTAGATAAAAAGCCTTAACACATGCAGATCAAACAACAAAACTAGCACAGCGGAAGATAAAACGAGAACTGGATAAAAGAAATCCAAATGGGGTGTTATGCCACGTCAACCAAACAAGGTAAACGCTACGGCGATCAATCTGCAAGTGTATACATCTATCCCAAAGACATCAGTCTAAAACTACATTGGCGCACAGGCCACAAAACAAGGATAAAGGTACTAAGCTACCAGGCACTAGACATCGCGCTCGTCTAAACATCACCTGAAAGATACAAAGATAAACATTGGGACGACGCCCGGTCAGCGATAATGCTGGTAACCCACCAATACATGTGAAATATCATACATAGATAGATATAAGTTGTAAAGCCATTTTCGAAACGGAATACATAAGTATATAAGTCAAAGGCCAAGATCAACAGTCAACACAGGACTCATCACTCTCAAAGATAACACGGGAACACATCCCAAACCACAAAGGTTAACCACAACACAAAGGATAAAGACAAGACCGATGGCAACACATGCTCTTGTGACTACACACGTCACAAGAAAAGAACACACAACAACGGCTACACAAGCCCTCGTGACATCACCCATCACGAGTTGATATGCCTTCCTTATGCCATGTTCCAACCTTATGGCTACCCCCAACCTTGTACCTTCATGCCAACCATTACCTCCAGGACCCCTGTACAGCCAAGTCCAACCTTATTCCCCCGGGACCGTCGTCCCCCACTAACGACCACCAACGAGATCACCAATTCATAGTACACAAGGTACCGTACACGGCAACACATGCCCGGATAACACATGTTATCCCCCAAAAACGTGAACCTTACACAAAGGCCACAACTCCATAATCACGTCACAGCCACCACGAGGACCGCTGCAATACCTTGGTGACTAGTGTCCCATACCACTAACCGTGCAATCTAGGTAAAGCCACACACGCACAACAGCAGGAATCAATCAACGGATCACAACGAAGCTATGAAACCATACTCAATCAAGGAATGGGTCACAACCCAACAACAACAACGATGAATAATACAAGTTATCATCAACCAAACGGAAGGTACAAACAACACACACGCTAGCATTTAGATACCAAACTAGCATGCTTATCAACGGGGAAACTCAAGATAGTTCTGAGGAACATTCAAGACACCAAAGCCCTACATGGATTCCTACCATATAGTTCTAGACATACGAAACATCAAGAAGACACTCAAATAGTTCCACAAAAGAACATCGGGAAGTCAAAAGACCAAATACCGAGTCAAACGAATCACGGGGAACAAATCCCGAACAAACACCACCATGTACCCGCGGGTGGACCCACGGGTAGTGCACCACCCGTGGTTCCGCCCGCGGGAACATATTCCCACAGGGCTATGTACCCACGGGTAGGCCGGCGGGTGGTGCCCCGCCCGCCGTTCCGCCCGCGGGAACATTCCTGTTCCACAACAAATCCCTTCGGGGATTTTCTTCTCCAAACACAAATTCAAGTCCAAAACATGCCAAATCTCACCCAACACAACAAAATGACTTGAACCATGGAAAATGCCAAGCAATGGCACAAAGGAACCCTAAACACAAGCTTTAGATATGCAATATCACAAGACAAATGCATAAACCCTCACATTTCATAGCAAAACACATGTAGAATCCAAGAAATCACAGTATAGGTAAGCAAAATAGGTTTTGTAGAGCATGGGTTACCTCTTGTAGACCAAAAGACTTCACTTTACACCACAACAAGCTCCCCACCAGGCTTACTTTCCAAACCCACTTCAAGATTAAACCAAAAGATCATAAAGATCCTACCTTTAAGAAAAAGACAACTAAGATGAAACCAAAAACACAAGATAAACTTAGATCTTACCCTCCTAGATGCCCAAATAGGTGAAAGGTTGAATCTTGGTAGCAAATCTTGGAATCTTGACAAGGGTCTCAACTTGGCTTGGAGAATAAGCTACACTTCTTTTCTAGAGAGTAGGTAGAGCTGATTTCTAGGAATTGTAAGGAATGAAATGAAGAAGTCTTCTAGGTTAGGTTACAATACTAACTCTTGGTGAAAAGTCAAGAATACCCTTACTAACCTTTAGAAAGTGTAAGGAACAAGGGAACTCCCCTCAAAGCTCAAGGTACAACACAACTTTAAGGTTGACTAGTCAAATACTAGTCCTTGAGTATTAAAAATCAGGATTTTAGGAATTAATTCCTCAAATAAAATAGGATTAATTACTCAATTAATCCATGGATTGAATGTGGATTTTTGGGGTGTCACACCCGGTACAAGAGGACCAGGCTCCCCAAAAACAAAGTTCAAAACGAAACTAAGGATCGGAGGGCTGAACGTCCTTCGTCGACTGGACCGGGTCGGAAGCGACATCCGTGGGCTCGGCAAAGGGGTTAGGCCCGGGATCCACGATTTCCCCCGGAAGGTTTTCCAGTATGAGCCGCATGTCGTCGCCCTCGAAGACCTCGGTCACGGACGCCTGGACTTCTTGCTGCATGGCCCGACGACCAGAAACGTACGCCCTGTCACCGAAGAACCAAGCGAGGTCTTCCCCGGTCTTGTGCGTCAGGAAGGCGCGGAAGAATTGTTCGGCCTTCGCTCGGTGTTCGCAAATAAAGGCGGCGAAGCTGTCCTGGTCGTCGAGCGGCCTTGGCTTCCCTGACTGCTTTTTGCGCTAGCTCTAGCGCTGTGGTCCGAGCCTCGTCCGCAGCGGTCTTCCCGTCTTGAGCCACCTTCAAGCAGCGTTTGAGCTCCTTGTTCTCCTTATTCAGGAGAACAGCTTCGTCCCCGGCCTTCGACCGGTAGAACAAGACCATTAAGACTCGGGTGAGCTGCAAATAAGCCACGAAGTTAGTTAAGAAAAATGAAATAGTGGTCGGTTTGAAACGTTAGACTTTTACCTTGACCAGGTCACGAGCTCCCTCCTCCGATATTTGCTCAGGGGACCAGTCGAACATTTCGTCGTCCGAGGGAAACAGTGCGTTGATCCCCTCGAGGAAGGTCGGTCGAGCTTCCTCCCCCCAAAGAGCCGCAAGACTCTGTCGACGCGCCAGTTTTAGCGGGACGACCTCCGGGTCGGCCGCCTTTTCTTTGCCCCTCTTGCTCGATGCTCGAACCAGCGTGAGCTCTTGTCCCGACCTACCGGCTGGGGCAGTCGGGTTATCAACGGTCGTGGTCATCAAAGGCACAGCGATCGGGATGACAGGACCGTTCGGGACCGCCTCTGAGACACTGGGCGCAACATCTTTCTTGCCCCCCAAGGCGACCTTGGGCCGGGGGGCTCGGGCAAGTGGGACGGCGGTCGGGAATTCGCGGCTAGACTTCATTCCTACACAAGAGCGTAAACAGTTAAGCCGAAAGGTAACAACGGGGTGATGGATCGGTCTCGACGGAGGCGGTAGGCGTTAAACCTGTGGTACCCATCCCGAGCGCGGGTGCAGGAGGCGCTGCGGCGATCGTAACCTCGGTCGGTATCGGTGTGTACTTCTATTCTAAGTCGTACCGTGACGGAGGCAGTCGAGCAGCGCTGTACTCCTTGAGTGATCGGAAGAGCTTGTACTCGTGATTCTCAGACGAGATCCTTGCTACGGCCACCTACAGAGCTTGCGTTGGCTCGGGAACGACGTATTTCGTGAAATGCGTCGACCAAGTCCTCTCGACTGGGAGGTCCCACGGATACTCGATCGAGAAATAGCGATTCTTCCATCCTTTGTTGTTGGCCGGGAGATGAAGGATAGAGCGCATGCCCTCCCTGGACTGAGCCTTTAGAAACCCCCCTCCATGGTTGGGCGGCAATTGCTGCACCTGATAGATGAAGTTGAATAGCTCCATGGTGCAGTCGGCTGCGTGCCGGGCACATATCTGGGGGAAACAAGGGAGTATGCGGTGGGCGTTCGGGCATGTTAGTGTTTTAATTGCTCAAAAAACGCCAACATATAATTGGCAATATTATTATGGCAATCTAAGATAGGGTTAGCTTGGTGTCGGTTTGTGTTACAGAAGACTGATTGATCAGATACAGCACCAGACGTACTGACACTGAAGATCTGTTTTAGGAAGATGTTTCCTTTTACTAAACGCGGTTTAAGAAGTCATCTTTGGAAAGAATATCAGCGGATCTGTCTTGGAAAGGTATGGACCGAATCTTTAAGATTACATTCTTCTCATATAGTCCTACCATCTACAATCAGAGTTACCTATGGAATGTGTTCTTGCTATGGAAGTATAAGTACCCTTATTCGGTCATGAATTAGGGTTACGCTTTTGAGAAGAAAGAAACACTTCGTCATATACTAAGAGACCACATCTTTGATTATCATGTCTCTTCTCAAGACAATTTGTTCTTGTTGATTATGATGAAGAACTTGAGAAGAGATATCGTTGCTTAAACGAAAAGGACGCTAAGATCACACAGTTGTGGGAACAACTTTGGGCTGCGTCACTGAAGTGGACTGCATCAGAGTTAGCTCTCCAAGTGAAGGGATTTCATTGGACTTCTGTATGCACGGCTCTCCAACTTCAACAATCCACTTCTGTGTAGACTGGGTACGTACCTTGTGTGGGGAACTTGGGTGAGATTATTGGTTCTCTACCTTTGTACATTGGATTATGAGTTAGTGGATTGGACGCTTCTGTGATCGTCCCCTAGATGTAGATACACACTGTATCGAACTGGGTAAACATCTTGTGTGTTGTTTCTTTTGCTGTCTGCCTTAGTTCTCTTTCTGCAATCAAATCAGCTATCTATCTAACTAACTGATATCAACGTTGATTCTGCCAATCTAATCCATCAGTCATTTAATCCCATTAATATCCTTAAATTGAGGAAATGCAAAATTGCATGTGGTATCAGAGCTTTTAAGTCTACATAGTGACTTGATCCGTACAGGAAGATTTTGTTTTTTCATTGCTCTCTTTTTATTGAAAGTGTCTCTGGTTGTCGGTTGGCAGTTTGCCTGCTTATGTGTTTCTGGCTTGTTGTTTTTATTCAGGATGGATGCAAGCATGAAACCACCAGAATTGGAGGATCACAACTATTCATTCAGGAAGGCTCGTATGGAGATCTATCTCCAAGCACAGGGTACCAGGGTTTATCGTACTGTTCTCTCCGGGTGGAGCCACCCAACTATTCAGAATCCTGATGGAACCACTTCGGCAAAGCCCATTGAAACTTGGACAGAAAATGAGATGACTGCCTCTGATCTGAACAATAAAGCACTGAACTCTATCGTAGGATGTCAGCATGAATATGTTTTTACCTTAGTTACTGGGGTAAAAGAAGCAAAACGAGTATGGGAAATTCTTGAAACCAGATTTGAGGGTACAAGTGATGTGAAGCAATCAAAGCTTCAAATGGTTCTGTCAGAGTTTGAAGCTCTTAGAATGGGCGAAGAGGAAACAATCTTAGTCTTTCACAGTCGTGTTCAGAATCTGATAAACAGAGCCTCAATACTTGGCGAACCGTTCACTGATGAAAGAGTAGTCAAAAAGATCCTTCGATCTTTGCCAAAACGCTTCCGAATGAAAGTAACCGCAATTCAGGAACACACCGGCTGGGAAAAGAAGAGTGTGGGAGAGTTTATGGGAAGCTTACACACGTATGAACTTGAAGTGCTGGCTGATGATGATCTTGCTATCAACAGAAAAGGCAAGTCATTGGCTTTTGTTGCTGAAGTTGTTCGAGAATCGGACACAGATGACATAGATGATGAAGCCTTGGCCTTGCTAACCAAGAATTTTAAGAAGATCTTGAAATGTTTTAACAGAATGAGTCAAGGACAACCCAACAAGACACAATACAAAGGTAGTAACTCCTCATATCAGAAAACAGAAACACCCTCTTTCACACAGAACAATCAGTCCCAAACTGGCCGAACAAGACAACCCAGAAATAGTTCGACTGACACAAGTAGATCTCTCAACCGGTCAGTGCAGTGTCGAGAGTGTGAAGGATTTGGTCACATACAGGCGGAGTGTGCAACTTATCTCAAGAGGAAGAAGGCTATGTATGTGGATACACTAAGTGCTGATGAGGAGGAAGTATCTAATGATCAGTCAGATGACAACGTGGGAAACTTTGTGGCCTTCTTCTCAGCTACAGAGAATCAGTCAGAAGAAAATGAATCTGATGAAGAGTCTTATATTTCGACAGATGATTTTGAAGAGAGGCATACCCAACTTGAAATGGAATTTGCTAAACTTGTTGCAAGCTGGGAGCAACTGGTGAAAGTTAATAAAAATCTGAATGAAGAACTGAAGCAGCGAGATGATCTTCTGAAGAAACTAAACACAGAACTTGTCACAAAAGAAGATCTTATAACTCAGACAAGATCTCGAGAGGGAAAATTGATAAAAGAGTTGGAGGATCTGAAGAAGAACATAAAAATGATGGACACCACATCAACTCTAGACAAAATTTTGGATTCTGGTTGAAATCCAAATGATAAAAAGGGTTTTGGTTATGAACGATGAGAGCCTTCGAAGACTATTCCTGTGTTTATCAAAGAGGGTATGACAATTAGTACACCAGCTCGCAAGTATGACCTTGGTCAGTCATCCCGGTCAGTCCAGATAAAGGAAAAAGGAAAGATTCATGCTCGAACTGCAGAAACTGATTTTGGCAAAGTGGTGTTCTAATCTCAGTACTCAAAGTTCAAAGCTAAATTTACCAGAATCAGACAATATACACCCATCTGTCACTACTGTCAAACAAAAGGTCACACTCGACCTGAGTGTTATTTTTTTTACAGAGACCAAAGGAAGGAGAAATATCAGAACAAGACTATTACACCGTTCACAAGACAAGTTTGGGTCAGGAAGTCAGAAGTAATATGCTATCCCACTATAGTTCTGACCGCCTCTACAACTGAATCAAGATGGTATTTCGACAGTGGGTGTTCCAGACATATGACAGGAAATGTCAAGTGTCTTATGGCTGTTCAACCTAGCAGTGGATCTGTTACATATGAAGACGGACAAAAAGGGAAAATAGTTGGAAAAGGTACTCTAAATGTACCAGGCTTACCTCACCTAGAAGAAGTTTTACTAGTCAGTGGTCTGAAAGCAAATCTTATTAGCATCAGTCAGTTGTGTGATCAAAACTGGAATGTGTGCTTCAATCGGAACTGTTGCAGAGTCAGTGATAAAGCAAATCAACTGGTAATGGAAGGAACACGATCCTCTGACAACTGTTATGTGCTGACTAATGAAAATGCATGTCGCCTATCTAGATCAGATGAATCAAAACTATGGCATAGACGACTGGGTCACATAAACTACAGAGATATGGATAAAATGATCAAATTAGATGCTGTGCGAGGAATACCTAAGATCAGAATAGAACAAGAAGGAGTTTGTGGTGCATGTGCCATTGGGAAACAAATAAGGACCCCTCACAAAGCAGTAAAAGTAATTACTACTGAAAGATGCCTAGAACTGGTTCATACTGTAAATAGAGTCTACCTTAGACCAGGTACGTCCAAAACATCATATGAGATCTGGAAGGGGAAGAAGCCAAACTTGAAGTATTTTCATGTGTTTGGAACAAAGTGTTATGTGCTGATCGACAGGGAACAAAGAGGGAAGTTTGAACCTAAGAGTGATGAGAGCGTCTTTCTGGGGTACTCTCCAAACAGTCAAGCCTATCGAGTTTACAACAAAAGAACTCAATCTGTAATGGAATCAGTAAATGTTGTTATAGATGATTATCCTAACGAATCTGTAGAAGCATCAGTGACTGATCTAGAGACAGAACCTCCTCTTAGTGAGTCAAACACATCTGAGGACACCAAATCCAAAACACAAGACTCATCAGATGAAGATCAAGAAAGTTCTGAACAAGAGATTCCTCTTGCTGATAATGTAGGTAAGAACAAGCCCATCAGAACTCAGAAAAATCATCCTTCAGACAACATTATTGGCGATCCAACAGATGGGATGAATACCAGAAGCCGGATGAGAAACAATCTGATAGGAATATCCTGATCAGCCTGCTATACCTCAAAAATAGAACCAAAAAGTGTAAAAGAAGCGTTACAGGATGATCTGTGGATCAAGGCTATGCAAGAGGAGCTGCACCAATTTGACCGGAATCATGTCTGGGATCTGGTACCAAGACCTGATCGTGTCAACATAATCGGAACAAAGTGGATCTTCAAAAATAAAATTGATGAAGCTGGAAATATTGTAAGGAACAAAGCTCGGCTAGTTGCTCAAGGATACACTCAGATAGAGGGAATTGACTATGATGAAACGTTTGCTCCTGTGGCAAGGTTAGAGTCAATCAGGATTTTGTTGGCAGTTGCATGTATTCTGGGATTCACACTGTTTCAGATGGATGTTAAGACAGCGTTTTTGAATGGGTACCTGCATGAAGATATTTATGTGCCTCAACCGAAAGGATTTGAAGATCCAGATCATCCATCTCATGTCTACAAGCTCAGAAAAGCCCTCTATGGTCTCAAACAAGCTCCAAGGGCATGGTACGAACGACTGACACAGTATCTGTTACACCATGGGTACAAGCAAGGAAGTGTTGATAAAACCTTGTTCGTAAAAACCACTGGAAGTCATGTTACCATTGCTCAGATCTATGTGGATGATATTGTCTTTGGTTCTACTTTACAAAAGTACACTGATGATTTAGTAAAAGTCATGAAAGAAGAATTTGAAATGTCCATGGTTGGCCAACTGACATACTTTCTAGGGCTGCAAGTGAAATAGAGTCCTGAAGGGTACTTTATCTCACAAGAAAAGTATGCTAAGAATTTGGTCAAGAAGTTTGATCTGGAATCGTGTAAACCATCTAGGACACCTATTTCTACCTCCACAAAAGTATCCAAAGATGACACTGGTGCATCAGTTGATAACATAGTATATCGAAGTCTGATAGGAAGTCTGTTTTACTTAACCGCTAGTCGACCCGATATAATGTTCAGTGTTGGAATCTGTGCAAGATATCAATCTGATCCAAAAGAGTCGCACCCGATAGCTGCTAAAAGGATTCTGAAATATATCAAAGGAACAATTCAATATGGTCTATGGTACTCCAAGGACAGTGAGCTTAGTCTGGTTGCATATTGTGATGCTGATTGGGCAGGAAATATTGATGACAGAAAAAGTACTTAGGGTGGATGCTTCTTCATTGGAAAAAACTTGGTATCATGGCTGAGCAAGAAACAGAATTCGATTTCTTTAAGTACTGCAGAGGCAGAATATATAGCCGCTGGAGGTTGTTGTACTCAGTTGGTGTGGATGAAACAGATGCTTCTAGACTATGGTCTTACTCAAAGAATTATGACTCTCTATTGTGATAATTTCAGTGCCATCAATATCTCAAAGAATCCAGTGCAACATTCCAGAACGAAGCATATTGATATAAGGCATCACTACATCAGAGATTTGGTAGAATCCAAGGAAATAGAGTTGGAATACATTCAAACAGATAAGCAATTGGATGACATTCTGACTAAGCCCCTGGATGCAAATCGGTTTGAGATTCTCAGATCTGCTCTGGGAATCTACAGGATTGATTAATAAGGCAGTAAGATATACAGAAGGAGAGTATATGGTGTCACATTTACGGGTCAAAATTCAGCCTTTGACTTCCTTTTAAATCTCCCTTCTGTTTTTGTTAAGATAATATCTTAACCCCTCTTACCTAAAATTAATTCGCCTTTTCGAAATTCAAATCTTAACTCTTCCGTTTCATTCCAAAAAAGGAGGTATACCGTTGCGTCAATCACATCAGCTCTGCATGCATTCTGACAAGTCGCATTAAATAGGGTTATTCACCCATGGGATTATATATGAGTTTTGGGTCAAGTGTGAAGGAAGAAGAGTTTAAAATATCCTTGCTCTCTGATTTCTCTCCTCTACCTAGGGTTTACCTTCTCGCATACCCATATCGCACATCAATGGCAGACGCTGTAAGAAATATCATTATCAAGCTTGGGAGAAAGATCCATTCACCAGAAACAGCCACTAAGCATGTCAAAAACACTGCTCCAGTTAGCTATGATGAAGAAATTGAAGCTTGACTATGATCTACGCGATGAAATCATGGTCACTGTGCTTTCGGATTATCCGGAGTTCTATGCAGATTGGTCCGAGGATGACACCAATGAGCTTTTGATGCTGGCCTCAGAGGTGAGTGATGAGGTTAGCCCTGCATCTATCCCAGAGCCTACAGATGGTAATCGTGCTGGGGCATTCCTTCAGTATTTTGCTCAACGGGCTCTTGAATCCGAAGAAGTCTCACGTAGTCGAGCAGCAGTTCAACCCCTCTACCTACAAGCTACCCAGGACGAAGCCAAACGCCGGATTGAGTTTCTTCGTAACAGGTCCAATACCTCTGAATCTCCTATTGAAATCTCTCCTGACAAGCTTGATGATTTAAATTCTGATGTTATTAAGTCTGTTATGCCTATTGTTCAATTTGATAATACGAAGGTGTTAATTTCTGAGAAAACTTCTGTATCTGTTGATCCTCCGCGTATCCTCTCTGAAAAATCTGAACCTACAAAAGATGTTGTTGATGTTGTGTCTGATGAGAAAAATAAAACCTTTGAGTTGGGCAACAATCTAAGTTTGGTTGTGTATTCTGCTGATACTGTGAAATCTGCTCTGCCTTCAGCTGAAATTGCTGTGTCCCCGATTGAGATCTGTCCATCTGATAATCCCTCAAGTCTGCCCACTGAGATTGAGGCTGCCAGTAATTCAAGCCCTCATGCATCTGATCAAATAGATGGGGTGCCTATCTTTACATCTTCATCTTTGGCCGAGAGCCTGGAACACGTCCGGCATTTTGCAGGTTTACCCTCTGCCTCGATTCCAGAACCGTATCGAGTTATTCATCCTTCTGAGTCCTCCAGTGAAGAGAGAAGATCCTTGCTGAAGTGTATGGCTCACAAGCCCTGGTTTCTAGACCTCCTACTGTTGAAGCTACAGCGCATCCAGATTCAACCACTTTCAAGATTCGAGAGATTACAAATCTTTTGGGAACCTCATCTGCCCCAGTATCAGACACAAGTCACTCAGTATCACCAAGTCCTTCTGGGCCTTCCCCATCCAAGGAAACTAGAAAATCCAAACGCAAGAGTGTCCCTGTAAAAGTTGTTGTTGAATCCGGTGATGACAATCTTGATGTGGTTCAACCTGAGAAGAGAAGAAAGTGTGCTAAATCAGTAAGACCTGAAGCTAATCCTCTCGTGCAACAAGTGTTCAAAACCCAGCGATCCTCTGTCAAGAACAAGGCACCTGTTGTGGTTCCTACTACCTCTACCCGGAAGGGAAAGCCAACTACTCGCTCAAGAGGACGAAGTATCACATCTGAGGTTCAACCTGCTTTGGAGAATCCTGACACCAACATCTATAAACCTTAGTTTGTCTCCTCTTCTGCTCAAGGAAAATGGTCCACGATGATCCGGAGAGATCTTATTATTCAGAGGTCTGTCGATGAAAACCAGTTGAACTCTGTTTGCGACATCTTGCCCTTGCTGAGTGAAGTAGGCCTCTTGAAGACTGTCACCTCTATCTGTCCCTACTCGAAGCTACTGACTTATGAGTTCTATTGTAATCTTAATGAGGAGATTGATAATTTGACAGGGACGCGGTGCATGCAAATCTTCATCCGGGGAAAATGGTATGTCTTTGGTCCAGATGTGATAAATGAATATTATGGTCTGAAGGGTGTTGATGAAGAAGAAATCACGGACTGGGATTTAGTGGCAAGGATCGTAACAGGTGGACAAACCTCTGAATGGCCTACGGGTGACATTGATACTCTGTCTAGCTCGAAACTCACCTCCAACTATGTCATTCTGCACCGTATTGCTCTTCACAACTGGCTACCATCTGCTCATTTTCATACGGTTGGCAAGCAATTGGCAGCTCT